TTAAGCACTTCTCTGTAGTCAGATCACAGGGTTAGGATTTTGGAAAACAAGCCACAAGGACAGCAATTAAAGCAAGTAAAGAGAAAATATGGTCAGCATAGACATCAAATGATTCCATTTCATTCTAAATTCGATGTTTCTTTTCAGCAATTGTCATTTTAAGGGTTTCTTTCAGTTTTAAAGGCCAAAACAAGAGCAAATTTCGTGATTTGGTTTTTAAAATGTGAACAATGTTGTGCTATTTATTTTTTATGTAAGTTATTTATTTTCATTTTAAATACCTTAAAATCAGCGAGTCTTCGACGGCCCTTCGAAAAAAGAGTGGTTGACATCACAGGACATCACAGGTTAATTTCAAAAATATTGATTATACTGCGTTTGAAAGGTAATAGAATTTCTCTGGTAGCCACAAAGACCTTTTTTTAATTTTAAAATGTTCTGATTTTCTAACTCAAAGTTTTTCTTGAAAACAAAAACAACACAAGCCTTAAATATATTCTAAAATCCCACATAAAAGCGCAATGATTGCTTCAACCGCTACAACTTTGTCAGTTTTAGTATGATTTACTTGAAATATTGGCACAATCATCTTAAAATATTGTAGATTAAAAATAAAAACAAAAAACGTAAGAACCCAAACCGAAATACTTCCCCTAAACAAGACCTATCTTTAAATGTGTGTTTAAAAAAGATGCTTGTTTATAATAAAACCTATTTTCCAAACAATCAAGTAATCGAAATGCTTTAAAAAAAACCTCCATTCTTTATTTAAATCGTAGATGTGCCTAACTGCATTAATGCCAATGCGAAAGTATGGTCAACATAGGTCGAGTCTGCCCCAAAACGTAGGCAATACTTTTCCTCTTGCATTTTATTTGCTTACACGAGTGCCGCAGCTCCGAATGGCCAACTTCACAACCTTTTTGTTCCCGTGAATAAATGGCTTCCCCTATTTTTGTTAAAATTCAATTAAAATTGTTTAACTTGGACAAAGATGGCCAGCAAAAAAAAAATAAATACAACAAACTTACATTATATATGTATATATCAAATTGTACAGAAAAATACAACGAAAGAGTTACAGCAGCGGACGTCGACTGCGACGCAGCGGCGACGCAGCAGCGCTGCAGCAGCGGGCATTGCAAACAAAGGACAACATAACGAGATTAACACACACAGGCACACAGAGCCACCCCAAAAAAAAGTAAAAATACGAAACAAAATCAAATAAAAAACACAAAAAAAGGAGAAGCGAAAAGCGAAAGGCATGTTAAAAAAGAGAGAGCGAACGGGGAGAGGAATTGAGAAAAAATAAAACCCGCTTAAATTAAGCCCACCTACTGGCCAGGCCACCATCAGAAGCCACCACCCAACCACCCACAAAAGGAAGCTGGAGCTGGACAGCGAACGCACGAACGGGTTGAAGGGTACGAGCACGTTGATGAGGACATGGACGGGGGGGTAGGTGGGTGGTCAGGGGGTGTGCCGTTCCGCCCGCCGGCACTTGCCAATTTAAACAGGAAAGAAGGCCACAGGCGATGGGCCCGACTGTGGGATACCCGCTACAAAATATGTTGCATAACTACAAACAAACTATACAGGACAACAAGAAAAGCAGTTTTCCACAGCAGCCCAAACTCTATATACACTCACAAAAAATAATCAAAAATTATAGGAAACATGACCTAAAAAAAAGTGCTAAACATTATAGGTCACATATGACGTATGATTTTACCTTCATGGGCTCATTTTGTTCTTTAAAGTAATAATTAAAGTAAATTCCAATAATTTAATATTTTAAATTCTCGAAAAAACATACATTTTTATTTGTTAGGCAAAAAAAGATGAAGCTTTTGTTATATTCATAGAATCATATAATGGACTTAATTTTAAGTAAACAATGGCCTTAAAATGTAGTCTAGAAATAACCTAAAAAGTATCATTATATTTCATATTTTGGCCAAAAAATAGAAAAATAGCACATGGTTTGGTATTTCTACAATGTCATAAAAATTGAGCCTACACATAACCTATAAACTATAAAAATAGTACGTACCTTAGGTAATGCTTTACCCAAGGATTACATTTTAGTCCGATTTGATTTTTATAGATCCTGAATACTCTAAAAATTAGTCTACCATTTTTCTGGGTGTGCAATCCGCGGTTATAAAATACATAAGATATATAACAACAGTTTTTTTTAATACTTTAAAAAGGAACGAAAAAGTGGTCCGATCTTCGACAAATTCAATATATAAGTCTTTCAAGTCTATGGGAAAAGACAGGAAAGAAAGAGAAAAGAAAATAAAAGAAAGAAAAAATTGCTTTAATGAACAAATTATCACAGAGTGATCTAGTATGTGTATTTTACATTTTAAAATGAGAATGTAGTCTTTTTGAGAGCAATATTTTTACTTTTTCACAAAAAAAAAATATCAATTAATAACCAGATTTCCCCAATGAGATGTTTACTTGAATTTTGGAAGATACAAATCTTTTAATATTCTCACATTTTCCTTTGAGTAACAATTAACGTGCTTGACCATTTCTCTATGTGTTGTTGTGCTTGAACTGATCTTCTAACTGATCCTGAATTTGGAAAGATGTTGCATAGTTTTTGGCAAATAAAATATGCCCTTTTTTGATATACGTTTTACCGGGTATATAAAGTTGAAAGACGGAGAGAGGAGACACAAAGAAACGACCACGCAGCATAAATAAAATGCCTGCCAAGCAAAGGTCCGCACACACACACACACACACACACACACCAATACACACACACACACACTCACTCACGCATGCAGAGCAACCCTTTCTCTCCATCTCCATCTTCATATTCTTCTTACTTTTGCTTGGCCAGTGGGCAGCCAGTGGGCAGCCAGTGGGCAGCCAGTGCGTGCCCCATCCCCAAAAACCCCACAAAAACCCCTAAAAAGCCACCAAAACCCCCGAAACTCCCTCAAAATGCGGCAAGGAAACTGAAAATTATGTCGACTGAAGCTGCTGCCTCTGCTGCTGCCTCTGCCGCTGCCATTGCCAACGTCGACGTCAACGTTGACGCTGGCGTTTGGGGGCAGCGCAGGCTCAAACTGAAACTCAAATCAAACCCTTCGTCCCACCGATCCTGGTCAGTTTCAGTGCGAGACCATTAAAATGCGTAAATTTGCAAAGGTTTGCTTGTTCTATTTAAAGAGAAGGAGGGACTTTTGCTAGAACCCGGCTTAAGGAAAATATAAGAATCAATGTAAAGTTATATCATCATATCTCAATACCCTGTCATTTAATACATAATTTATTTTAAAATTATTTTGCATTTCTGTGTTTTTTTTTGTGTTTCTTTCTAAAACAGAATTCAAGTCATTGGTCTCAAGATAAGTTATAAGAAATTGTCATACAAACTAAACTAAGGTGGTAATAAAAGTGGTCTTAAGTCCTTAGACTTAGAATAAAACTAAAAAATGTATGGGTTATATTATTTATACTTAAATACTGTCTGTAGTTAACTTTCAAAGCCACTTTGTAGCTTCATAGGCTCTCAAATAATTAAGTATTTTGAATAACAAAAATGTTGTATTTGTAGTTAAGATGTTACTTAATACATAAAAAAAATATTTGAAGTTCTTAGTTTTCGCTGTGAAAAGAACTTTTTGGCCTTCAAAAATGTTTTTGAGCTCATCCCTGCCCTTTACTGGAGTAAAAGGTTATTTTGTATTACTCGTACAGTAAAAGGTTATATTGTATTCGTTGAACAACATGTAATATACTTAAAAATGTTTGGCTTTAATAGTTTCTTAGATCTTGACGTTCATACGAACACGACTAGATCAACTAGCCCGGTGATGCTGATCAAAAATATATACTTTATGGCATCGGAAATGTCTCCTTCAACGCAGTAAAACTTATGACTGAAATTATAATAATTTGCGAGGGTGTAAAACCGTGTTTTCAAATAAAGAAAAAACCTTACCATTCCCATTGAATCGTTGTACTTAAACCTATTTATTATATAAATACTAACGACTGTATATAAAATATGGGTAATATTTTTGAAACCAATCAAATAAAAATAACCGTGTTAAGGGATCGGATTGAGGCGGGGTAAAATGCAAATGACGAAGACGGAAGAAGCTAAGGGTAAGTTGGCCAATACATTCACCAGTGACAAAAGTGTCGAGGTAAGCATTTCGCAAAAACACTTATCGGGCACTGGGACACAAGCAAAGAATTTGAAACCCCAAAGGAAGACCTAGAATCCAGAAGTGGGACATTGAGCCAGAAAAAGGAAAATGCTGCACCAGTGACAAAAAAAAAGGGAGTCCAGAATAAACACTCATCGGCGATTATAACCGATAGAACCCATCCGCAATAAAAGTTGATCTTGGTTGAAATGGACAGTGATACAATGAGTTCTAATGCCTCAAAAGCTTCTGAGGTGAACAACGTTAAAATCGTAGACCACAATTCAATTCAACACAGACCACAATTCAATATCAATTCGATTTTTAGTTAAAAATGTAATAAAGAAATTTACCAATATTAAAAAAAAAATATTTTAAAATTGTTCACTTATAATAAATGTGCATTTTTATATGTGCCCCATTTATTTTCTGGTTTTAGCTTCACTAAAGCACAAACAAAAATTTAAAAAGTTGTCTTTAAGCGATTTTGATTTCAATTTTTTTAATGTTAAAAAAAATCCTGCTACCATAAAATGAAATCGTCTAATTTGTAAAATTCACAATTGAATTGAAATTTAATAGTAATTTGGCTGTTTTCTTCTTGTCGTAATCAAAATAAAAAAAATCGTTATCAAAAAAAAAAAAATTTTGGACTTACTTAATGCTGATTGTTTATAAGAATATTACTTTCACAGAAAGTAAGATAACACCATTAGGAATAGTCGCTTTCCAAAACATACTTGCCATATTGTCTAGGACAATAATTCCCTTCCCACCGCCAACCCTTTTCAAATAAATAGATTTGCGTTTTATTTTAAATTTTTCTTAGGCATTTCTCGCATTTATTTCTCATAGTTTTCGTAACACGTTTCATTCGCACAGTTTTTGTTTGTTCTTTTTCGTTTTTAATATGTTTTGAATGTTTCTATCAAAATTACAAAAAATTCCATTTGATTCGGAATATAAGGTATATATAGTCATATATATTTTTATATCAAATGTGTTTTTATTTGTGGAAAAAATGGTATCAAATGGCAACATTGTTTATTATATAATAGCCCTGCAAAGAATTTCTGGTGTTTATTTTAAAAAATTGAATTTTTCTTTGATTTCATTAGTTAGATGTTTTAGTTTTCGGTTGCTGTATTTGTAAATTTGTAGTTAATGCATATGAATGATGTCTGAATGTGTTGGCGATATAGTAATGAACTTACTTATTTTGCTTTCCTTCAGCTGTAGTCTTTTCTTTTAGTTTTAGCTAGGGCTGTAATTTGAGTTTTCCTTACTTTATATAATTAGGATTCTGTTTTGTGTTTGATTTCTTGTTCTTTTAGTTGAACCTTGATTTATTTCTCTTCATTACTTAATTGTTTATACATTGCAATTGAAATATTTAAGCAAACGAACGGAAACAACAAAAAAAAATACACACAAATTATATGTAAGATGGCAAACAAATTATATTTAAAATGGTTTTTGTAGTAAAAGCATTGAGTAAGTTTCTAAATTTCACTTTCCATTGCGTTTAATTACATATGTATATATGCATGCCATTTAAATATGAATTTATTTAGCTTTTAATTTAAGTTTTTATTTTTGTTATCATGGACTTAATGACTAGGTTCATTTAGATTTTGTTACATTTATTTAGCAAAAAATGTTGCAGGTTTTTCTTTCTTATTTTTTGTTGTTTGTTGTTGTTTTGACACGACGACGGCGCCTATGGCACATCCTTGTGTTCCTACCATATATATATATATAGATATATATATAGCGTATAGTTTCTAAAAAATATCTTCATATAAATTCAAGCTTTAAAAAATTGGCATTTCCTTTATTTAAGTATGTTTATATCTAGATCTATATGCATAATACCCTTTAGTTTTGTATACGTAGGAAAGTAAAATGCAAATTTACCATAATAAACCCAATGCTTCTTGATTCTTGTATTCAAAACGAAAGTTTCATATATTTATATAGGACATAGGATGAGAAAAAAGCAGGCTTATTTAGCTGATGCGGGATCTTTTGGGATTGGAGTCTGAACACTTCTAGGATGGCTGGAGAGAGAAGGCGAAGTTTGAGTCGAGTGATTCGATCATTATTCGATTGCGCAGCACACACGCCGCTTAAACGTAACAAAACTTCATATAGAACTATATAGCTATGCCTTTATACAGAGTGTGTCGGGACCATAGGATCGAAAGTATACAATCCGAATAGTTTTTGATAAGATGTTTCAGTTTTCACACTTTTAAACTGAAGTTATTGGCGAACCGGTTACGATATACAGGCACGTATATACGCTTATATTTATATATATGGCTGTCTCTGGCTGTACACAAACATACATACAAAACAAATGGCAAACAAGTTACTACACAAAAACAATTACAAATTTGATCAATATATAATCGATAAAAACGATAAACCGTTGATAAGTGGGTCACTTAAAGATTGCAAAATATATTTTTATCGATTGGCAATCGATCATCTAGAATTGAAAGCTATTCTGCACGAAATTTAGTTTGATTAGTTCGCACAGCAGGGAAAAATATATCCCAAAAAAAAAAAATTATAGCTTCCACTAAACTCATTTATTATATGCATATAAAAATTGAACCTATAGGAACGCTTCAAAAATTATACGTTGAGAAACACAATTCGTAAGCGAAATTTAGCAAATAATTAATTTATATATTATTACAGTTACTAGATGAATTACATATTTGATTTGTGTACAGAAATAATTAAATGTTCCCTTATTGCCTTTAATATAAATAGTTTGATTTGCACATACAAAGTGTGTTTTATAGCTGATCTGCCTATTTTATCTGTGGTTTGTTAATAAGTACAAAGAGAATTATAAATTTGTATTCTATTGAGGAACTTGACAGACATTTTGAAAACTAAGCATTTGGTTATTTTAACTGAACAATCAATGTGGTATTACATTTTTCAAATAAAGTGTATAATATCGCTTTGAACAGCAAATAATTTGGATAGATCAACATGCATTACTATATATTAGGTGTATATGCAGGGCTTCCCCTTATTTAGGTTTATATGCTTTATAAGGCATTTCCTTTTCTAGCGCAGCGCATTTCATGCGCTTACAAAACGTTCACTAACGTTACAGAGATTATCGAGAGAAAAAAAATTATAAAATCAATACTAAGAGCAACTAAACAATTAAAAAAAAGTGCATGCATATATAAACACATTGTACACTTATCTGACGCTAATTTAGTGTTTTAAATAATGCACAATCGTTTTTAAAATGCATTATTTCTGTTCTTTTTACAAACTAAAATTTAGCTTAAATATTTTCACTAATGCAAAATTCCTTTTTGCATTTTGCATGTTGCTTTTGTGTTGTATGTTGGTTACTATTAACCCAACAATATCTCGACTTTCGAAATGCATCAAAATCTGATTGAAGAATCAAACCAGGTCAAAAGTGTCAATCCAAAACTATTATTAGTTTTAATGCTCAATGTTAAAATTTGTTTAAAACTACAAAGTTCAAAATCCCGCTTAATTAAAACTTTATTTTGCCAATGTATAAGATCAAGATCGGATTTCTGTTTATATCCAGCACCGATTGAAAATATTATTTGAAACGTTTTTCGAAACGGCTACAAATTGTTGACACATTTGACTTGACTTGACTCTAAACTTAGACGAAAATTCTGCAGTTTGATTCTCTGTTAGGCGTAATACTTGTGTAAGAGAAGTGGGCGTGGCCATAGCATATTCTTAGAAAATATATATATGTATAAGTCATACATAATGTATGTTTTAATTAGTGGTTTTCTCCATTTCGCTCTGTTGACGCCTTTTTGTAGGAATTTCTTTCTTTTAGACAAGTAAATATTTGTGCTCCTCCATGAAATTCCCTCCTTTGGAGAATGAGGATCCCAAGTGTGTGTGGTGGTGTGTGTGTGTGTGGAGCGGATTCACCTGGAAAGATAGGAAATTAGTTTAAGGTTCGCCAATAAAAATTTAAAAATCACCAGACAAAATTAAGGTGGATTCTTTTAGTTAAGATCCACCACTTACCCTTCTCATCGAATGATGATCCTATACCCGATTGGTCAGGTGGGTCTTGTCGCTCCGCTTCGGAGGCGGCGGCGGTGGACGCTTCTTGGCGGCCACCGAATTACCCGGCGGCGGCGGCAGCGGAGGTGTGCCAGCATCTCCGCCAGTGCCGCCGCCAGTTGCGCCGCCAGTGCCGCCGCCAGTGCCGCCGCCCGCCCCCTCGCCTGGGCGTGCACATTCTCGTAGAGCGCGTTGTGCGCATACTCGTAGTGCTCCTGCACCCAGTGGCTCACATTGGCCGTCTCGCGGTAGTAGTGCGATGAGTTGGCCCCCGAGTTGAGGTTGTGGGCGGCCAGCAGGTCCTCGTTGCTAAAGTCCCGGAAGCCGAGCACCTCGTGCGGCGTTGTGGCCGGCTCCGCCTTGCACTTTTGCGCCACCTGCCACTTCTTGCGCATCACGCGCTGCAGATCCTTGAGAAAGTCACGGGGCGGATTCGAGGCGGACTCCTGCAGGCGCTTGGGCGAGGTCACCTCGTTGGCGCTGCTGCTGCTCCCGTTGCTCTGGCTGGACAGGCGGGCCAGATCCGCGCGTGGCGGCAACATCGGTCCGGGGGCGTAGGTCTGATAAGCGGCCGATCCCGCACTGGAGCTGGAATGGCAGCTGAGCGTGGTGCTCGGCGAACGCTGCGGCAGCACGGGCTCCGGCGAGCACATCTTGCGCCGCAACAGCACCGGCGAATCGGCGAACGAGACCTTCTTTTGGGCGGGTGGCGGCGGCGGCAACGGCGGTCCGGCCAGCAGGGCGGGACCTACATAATCCGGCGGCGCCTTGTACGGCGGTGCTGCCTTAAGGGCACTCGCATTCGCACTCGCAATCGCATTCGTCTGCTTAACGGCTGGTTTGATGGGTTTGGCCGGCACCGCCGGCGGCAATGAACCATTGCTGTTGGGCATCATCATCCCCATCCCCATTCCCATTCCCATTCCCATCGTCATTCCCATCCCTAATCCCATGGGCGTGCTCATGGGTGTGGGCGTGGCCGGGCTGGGCGGATCCGCATAGGATGTCATGGCCAGCACCTCCTCGGGCGGCGGCGGTGGCGGCAGCGAGGCCAGCGATAGCTGCGAACCGTACACATCCTGTTCCTCGGAGCCATCCAAAGCCGGCGGCGGTGGAGGCGGCGGCAGCGAGTCCAGGGACAACGTGGACGAGCACATCAATGAGGCAGCCTGCGTTGCAGCCTGATCCCCCGGCGGTGGCTTGGCACAGATGCTGGGCGTCGGCGTGGGCGTGGAATTGCTGCTGGACGAGGTGGAGGAGGCACTGCCCATGGGCTCCAACGACTGCTTGACGGCAGCGGGAAGCGCCACCGGCACGGGTATGGGACGTCGTTTCAGCGTGCCGCTGCCATTGCTCTCCTGCGACTTGCGGCGACTGTGACGGCGTGTCAGTGTACCGCTGCGCTCAGGCGAACTGGCATCGCCGCCACCGCCACCGCCGCCGTTGGCGCCCTCGCAGATGGTAATCTCGCCCACCTCCTTCAGCTGGCGCGTCATGGTGGTCAGCGGCAGATTGGGCTTCATCGAGGGCTTACGCTTGATGGTGCCGGTGGTGAACTCAGAGTCGAAGCCATTGTTGTCGTCCGACAGGCAGCCGCTGGAGCTGCTGCTGGAGGCGCGCGAAGTGCGGCCGCTGGTCGAGTTGGACATGCTGCTGATGGCGGAGGAGACGCTGCCGCATTGCGACGGCACCGCCGACGATATGCTCGAGATGGACTCGCTGCGCATGGAGGCGGCAAAGCTCGACTGCGAGACGGCATCGTCGTGGCGACTGAGACAGGACAGGTCCTCCAGCAGCGACTTGTGGCTGTCCCACAGCTGCTTGCCGTACTTGCACACCCGTATGGCCGTCAGCCAGCGGTCCAGCGTCGGCAGATCCTCGGCGCAGAGCATCTTGAGCGAGCGGCATGCCTTGCCCAGCGACGAGTCGGCCACCGCCTTGAAACCGAACGTGTAGTCCGTCGGCGACTTCCACTTCTTGCGCCAGCCCAGACCCGTGTACACGTTGTGGCCGTGGAAGAGATTGAGGCAGACCAGGTCGCGCGTGTTCTTGGTCTTCTCCTTGGGGAAGTAGTAGAGGCCCGAGGAGCGCAGGACAAAGTGGTACCGCTTCCAGCCCTTCTTCGGGTCCGCCTTCATGTAGAGCGGCCCGTCCAGCTGCAGCTGCTGCTGCTGCTGGTGCGCGTCGAAGAACTCGTCCAGCAGCATCTGACGCGTCTGCTCGTCGTGCTGGCAACCGGGCGCCATCTGCGGTCCCGGCAAGTACAGTTCGGGGCGCGCGAATAGCGCCACCTTGTCCGGCCGCTGCTGGAAGAGCACGCGGTTGCCGGCGTCCGAGTTCCACGTCATCAGGTTGTCCACCAGCAGTTCGTGGTCCTCAAAGAGACGTTCTGTGTGGGGCAGAGAAAGGGTTAAGGATTAATACATCCAGTTTATTTTGGTATTTTAAATTAGACTATGGCACTAAGCACTCAACGATTTTATTGGCTTTAAATTAGTTGTAATTGGAGATGTTTCGTTTCTTCTTTGTGTTGCTAAAAAGATCGAGGCATGGTACAATTTTGCTTATAATTTACCATCATGCCTACCTATCAATTAAAAAAAAAACTCTGATATTGTTTAAGTTTTTCAACAAAAAATTAAAGTTGTTTAAAGTTTCTGCATAAGGTCATTTTACAAGAATTTAAGCAAATAAATGTAAATAAAATTGTTTTCAAAATGTTAACGACAATTACATTGGGTTTTTTCTTTTCATCGCTAATCTAAATTATTTTTCTTATTGTCTTTTTCTCGACTCATTTGTAGTACATATTATTATTGTACCATCTTTTATTTTATTTATTTGTATTAATATTTATTTTTAGCTTAATTACAAAAAAAAGGTTATGATGATTTGCCTCAAATATGTTTTTTATGTCTGCCATGATTTTAAGAAACATTTTCCCATTTAATTCTAATTTAATTTTGTATTCATCGCTATTTAAAGTTGAATTTGTTTTATGTCTTTCTCTCGGCCTTACACTGTCATTTGTTATTATTTTTTATATTTTTTGTTTTATTTATTTTTAATTTAACTACAAAAAAGTTATGATGATTTGCCTCAAATATGTTTTTTATGTCTGTCATGATTTTAAGAAACATTTTCCCATTTAATTCTAATTTAATTCTCGGCCTTACACTGTCATTTGTTATTATTATTATTTTTTGTTATACCATCTATTATTTATATTTTATTTATTTTTATTTTTTGATTTAATTACAAAAAAAGTTAATGATGGTTTGCCTCAAACATTTTGCCTGCTGGACTTTTGGCCAAACCGTCTTTTTCATGTCTGCCATGATTTTAGGAATCCTTTTCCCAGTTAATTCTAATAGAAGAGGTTAAACAAATATTCGAACTTGCTCTGCTTAAATTTCTGTCCAAGACTCTTGACCTTTGACCTGCGGTCTCAGCACCTCGACTAAGTTAACACTCAACGGAATTCACAGCCGGAATGAATGTTTCATATGAAATCTTCCTGAACTAATGGCAGAACTGCTAGCACCTAGCTATTAATTCCCAACCAAAAGCCAATGAGTTATCGTAGAGACCATGGCCACACTTACCCATCTGTAGATCGCCCAGGTGCTCGACCAGCGCCCAGTTCGACTGCATCAGCACGTGGTTCTTGTCGGCCAGCAGACGCGTCACATGGCCGCAGACCATGCGCTCGTCCACCAGCAGCGACTTGGATGCACCGTCGGAGGTGAAGGCCTTGACAAATAGGCGTCGGATGGAGGCGCTTTCGAGCTTGTGCAGAGCCAGCTGGATTTTGGCCGCCTTCGAGATGCTGTTGGCGCCACTCTGCTGGCCATGGCTCATCGATTTCTCGGAGCTGGCCAGTTGTTGCTTCTGCTGCTGATGCTGCTGCTGATGCTGCTGCTGCTGCTGTTGCTGTTGTTGCTGTTGCTGCAGGGATGTGTTCGAGGAGGCCGACGACTCACTGGACAGCAGCGAAACCGTATCGCTGAAGGCGGAATCGTTGTCGGGCGACTCGGTGCGCGGCTCACGGGGCGTGACAACGCCCAGCGTTATGCCCATCGTCATGCCGACCGGCAGCGACGGTGGCGGCGGCGGCGGCGGCGACGTATGCACCATCATTCCGGCCGACACTGGTCCGCCCATGTGACCCACTCCCAGTCCCAATCCCAATCCCAGTCCGTGTCCGTGTCCGTTCTCCGAGATGCCGGACGAGGAGCAGCTGCTCACGTCCGCCGAGATGGTGCTGTTGGTGCGCGAATGCGATCGCGACGAGGCAGCCGACATGGAAGCCAGCGATGGAGCACCGAAACCCACGCCAGGTGGTGGTGCTACCGGCAGAGCGCCGGGCAGCGGAGCGCCGACGCCATAGCTGATTTGCGCCTCCAGCAGACTCAGCTCGCCGAGAATCTGGTCCAGCTCCGACTCCTGCGAGTCCTCCAGGTTGGCCATCGAGATGCGGTATGTGTGGGAGAGCTGCTTGGCCTCCGGCGTCAGGGGACGGTCGCTGTGCCTGCGCAGCTTAACGCCAGTGGCAGCACCGGAGCCAATCAAACCGGGGCAATCCCCACCAGCCACGAAGCCAGCGGCGGTCGTCGTCGTCGTCGTCGTCGCACCACCACCACCAGCCGCTGCTCCTACTACACCTGCGCCGCTGGCAGCGCCGCCCACCAAGATGCCCCTTAGGTTGATCTGCATTGGGGGAAAAGCAACAAGCTGGGATTAGCATTGTTTGGGAAAATGTAATGTGCTTAAAAACATACATTTAAGACATAGAACAACAACAAAAACAAACAAAATGAGACTTAAATTTTTAAGGAAATTAAAAACTGTTAATAATTCCTTAAATTTCATTTTAAATTTTTATCAATTTAAGAAAATAATCATAAATCGTCTTCTGCACTTTGAAATGGAAAGAAAATGTTTTTAATATCTGACCTGTTTTTAAACATATTTTTATTTTAAAAACATACCCTTATTAACTGTAGATTTTTATATTTGCCCTATTTAGTTTATAGTATTAGCTTCACAAAAATATAAAGTACAAAACTTCAAAGTTGCTTCTAAACTATTTTTGATTGATATGTCCATAAGCTAAAGAACTGCTATTATTTTGACCTCATCTGTATCTCATCTATATTGTTGATGAGGTTGAAGGTATTTTATTATATTGTAAAGTTATTGCCTTGTCATTGTCATAAACAATAAGCTGTTGTCATTTACAGCTTTAAACCAGAGAGCGATGTTATTTCATATGGAGTTTTATCTACAAACAACTTTGTTTATTAAAATCCAAATTTAAAAATATACATAACATTGTTTCTCCCAAAGATTGGCCTTTTTTTTTTTGAGAACTTTTATCAAATAGCTTCTACAATTCGGTTTATTTATTTCAATGAAATATCTTTGCTTTTAATTTATCAATTCCAACACAGTATCATGTTTATACCCTTGCAAAGTGTATTATTATTTTAATCAAAAGTATGCAACGCAGTGTAGATGACATATATATCAGACAGCTTCCATTGGAAAAATCAGAAAAATAAATGAAAAATAGAGATATAGTAATGGCTTACTTTTTCTTTTTTTTTATTTTAGTAAAATTTAGACATCACTTTATAAAGCGTAAAAAAGCGGAAAATCGACATGGCTCCATTTTTTTTTTTTTTTACATATTATGCATAAAAATCAAAATTTAGTCGTTGAATAGAATATTTAATTTTTGTAAAAGCTACAAGGGCATACAAACTTCGGCTTTCTGCAGTCTGTTTCTTTGCTTGTTTGTCAAAATAAAATTAAAGCGACATGAAAACTTTTCCGAACCGTTTCTCTGTGACTCGAGGTCTCCATAGCTCGAATTTAAAATGCGGCAGATGATAATTGTAGTTGGGGAACTTTGGCTCTATAACGAGACCCAGAAATGTTTAAGAATTATCAGTGGGCCTTCCATCTCAGTGGCTATTGTTGCTGTTGTGTGGAACGTGCCACAATGGAGCGTCCGTTGGCGAGCGACGATTCTACGATTAGCGATTGCCGATTGGCGATTGTCGGTTGCCAATGCAGCTGGCCCAACCGCTGCCGTTTCCGCCCCCTCAGCCGCCCCTTCTGGGCGTCAGCTGTGCCTCAAACACGTTACACATTTTAGTTTGGACGACAACAACTTCCCCCGGCAAACGACAACGCCAGCCACACACAAAAAAAATTGATATTAATCGCATGCCAATTTAGTGATTTCAATAATCACTTTGGACCAGATACCAGTATACCCATACATACAAATTATATACTAGATATCAAAATAATATGGTTGCAAAATCATAAAATTTTCTTAATATGATAATAAATAAAAACTTACAGTTGCGGTCAAAATAATAGTAATAGAAAAAACGTTGATATTGTTTTAGTTTTTAAATTCACTTAAGTACGTGATTTTACAAGAATTACGAAAAATATATTAAAAAAAAATCATCCACTATCTGAACTTTGTATTGAAATAAAATTTTTTTAAATATTTAATGTATTTTTTAAATAAAGGATTAAAAAAAAATGTTGTTTCCCAATCATTTTAAATTGCGGATTTTGATATTTGTCCCTTTAATTTATAGTTGTTCAAAAGTAGCTTCCAAACTATTTTCGATACCTATTTTTATAAGTTAAAAAATATTACCATTTGGACCGCAGAAGTAAATGGCAGCAGAGGGATTCGAACCTAGAACTTTTTACAGAATACAAAAATATTTTCAATTCATTTGTTTGGACTTGCTGACAAACATACATTTGATATCGAGTTGGTTTTTTTTTTTTTTTTTTGCTGTGGATATTGCTAATGCTGTCGCTTGGCAATCAAATCAAAAGCGAAGCCGACTTCCCCGCATTCCAGCGCTTTTGGCGTTTCTCCAGCGGCAGCGATAGTTGAGCACTGTTTTTATCGCTTGTTACTCTGCTCCTGACGCATTTGTTGCCGCTGTGTGCTATTGTCGATGTGATGCAGTCGGAACCGCTCGACTAGCCACCAGATTGGCAAGTGTTAAGTAATTTACCAAGGCATAAGTCACGTATTAAGGCGACAAAGAACGATGGAAAGGGGCCGTTGGCCGTCGGGGGCAAAGGCAAAAACAATTACAATGACTGGCAATTGGCCAAGAGAAAGGGGGGAAAAAAAGACGGAGACGGAAAAGATTGAATATCTTGCAGAAATGAAAAGTTCACCAAACACTTGGATACCCGATTCTTTGGGAAAACAGTAACTTTCAATGCGGATAAAATACACTATGTGCCTTGAATTTAGATTATTTATACGCTATTTTCACAGACACATATTTTTTTCGGTTTCTGTTTTTTTTTTTAGCTCCTAATAATAATGTCAGTTTGATTTTTTTTTACACTTTTTCAAAACACATTGTTTATTGTATTACGTTGGAGGCGTCCATTCCAGTATAAAGTAAAGCTAGACTTCTAAGCCTGGAGGGCATCCCGACGTCCATTCAATCCGATCGCATGCGATGCGAGGTAACTGTTATAACATATGTGACATCGCTGACAACTGCCAACGTTTTACTGGCCATTTCGGTTACTTTCTGTTGATGGAGTTGCCTTTTTAATGGCCTTTTCAACGCTCGACTGAATGAGTCATTGCGTGGCTTGAAAAGGTTTTCGTTTTTTGTTTTTTGTTTTTGCTTTGTTTTCGTTTGCAGCGTTGTGGGGCTGTCACTTATTAAGTTTTTAGGTAATTGGCACTTTACTCAACTGAACTGAGACCTGCGGATGATCTACATCTCTCCCAAACCTTGTCAGCTGTTCAACGCACCACGAAGGGCACGAGGGGAAGGTTAAAACGAGGTTAGAGTTGGTCGAATATGGGAACAATGCACTGTCGCCCCGCTTGGCTAGCGTTGATTTATGGACAGAAATGTACATAAATACGGGAAACGGAATACAGATAGAGGGCTGCATCGCATCTAATAACCCCGGACGGCCAGCCGGACGGACGGCCGCCCTCTTTCCCCAAACACTCAATCGCTTGTCCACAAGGGGTTCAATGACAGGCCGCAACATAAAATCCCTATTGACATATCCAGGGGCTGGGCAGAGGGGTACAGCCGAGGGGAGGGGAGAGGAGAGGAGAGGAGCAGAGACCCCACACAGCATCCCATTCTACCGGCCATTTGTTGCTGTTAGTTTACGACTCTTGTTTGCATATTTGCATAGGTCGGTCCACGGTCCACTACTGCACTCCTATTCTCAGTTCTACACCGGGAAAAAATACCACTAAGGTTGTGCGTCGAAATAAAGAACAAAATTATTAAAAATTTTATATTAAATGAAGATACTAAAAATTTATTGTGTTTATTACACATTAAAATGAAATAATACAAAGTGCAGGTTTGCATTGTTCCAAGATTAATGATACATTTGTCATCAGCTTACACTGCTGACCTGTCTAGTGATCAAAACCGGTTTTTATCTAATCGACACGAGAACCCATTGGGAATTATAGCGTGACAGAGGGGTACCTATTTTGACTTGAATTAACTTGTTTATAAGATGGTAACAAAATCACTGATACGTTACACATAACCATTATTTTATAATATTTTTAATTTCATACTGTAATACTGCGTATTACAAAAATGGGAAAAGAAATCGCAAACGTTGCCAATTTATACCTTATTTTGTTAGATTACTCTATATAATTCTTGTAAGACACTACTTATCATATTTTAAAAATCTAAAAACTCCTATTTAGACAATTTTAAACCATTATTGTTCCGGAATTTTTTTTTGAGCACTCTCTACAGTTTGGTAAACTAATGGTCCTCGTAACCAAGTGTCAACAGTCCAAGCACAAACAGAAAAAAGGGGAAGCGAGAGTATGCTGACTATGAATTCAGCTTCAGTTCATGAAAGAAGGAGGCGCAACGAATTTAGCAACGTAAACTTACAAATTCTCTTGGTTGTAAAAAGCTTGTAAGCACACGATATTAAAAATATATTTTATTCTAAGTATTTTGCTTTATTTTTTGCAATTTCCTATGGTGCGCTAAGACACATAAAAAATATATTAAATGAAATTTTAAATGAAAACTACGTGCAATTTGTAACATATTTCAAAATAAATTAAATTATTATCTGTTAAAAGTTTACGCTTTTCCATCACGTTTTGTATGGGTAAACTGCTAAGAAGGTAACCGCTAATTTCGTCATTTAGGGGATTAAAATATGTGACATCAGTTCTAAGAACAAGCTTTCACTCCTAATGTTCAGTATTTAAAAGTGTCTTGAATTCCACACAATAAATATCTCTAGTTTAATAAAATATTGCATTGCTACGGCAACAACAGTCACAGTTTTTTTATAAACAATTTTAGCTCACGATAGACTGAATTGTTTTCGCTAACTTGACTTATACTTTACAATAGTTCTTCCCCGTTTTTGGTTACCAGCCATAGAACTGCCTTGTTATTGTGACGTCTGTGTTAAAAAGTGGTTTAAATTATAATCGTCAAAAGTCTGAAATGAAATAAACCACTCCCTGCACTGTTTTTTTTTTTTTTTGAAACGCTACGTTTCAGTCGTATTCGATCTGTAAATAAGTTTTTCTGCTGCAGTTCAATGTTCTTAGTGGATCGGTTTTCTGTTGTTCACCTTGGGCACACGGGTCCAGATCAATGCTACCAATATAGCGGCATGAC